TCACTCTAAGAGGTCAAATGGTTGATCGACATCAGTAAGCTTGATCGATTCATATTGATTGAAATCAACTGGTTTGAGCTCGTGGATTTTCACACACTGATCAGGGGATGTTTTAGAGTCATTTTAAGATAGTATCAATACCTTACTTTATGTTTGTTTTCTTTCTTTAATTTTCTTTTTTAGTTGTAAAGATGCAGGCAGGTGGAAAATACCCCAGCAATGAAGACGGAAGAGTTTATTTTTTCTTTCCAAAAATGGGGTATCCCTCAGGGAACTTCCATGAGGTGGGTGGGAGAGACAAGGAGGTGAAAATCACTTGCTTCCCTTACACCACCCTCAAATTAAACCTCCTGTACTTTCAATTTGAACCTCAACCTCTGCAGATTAATGATTACTGAATGATAAATCTTGCCATTTTTTTCAAACTTTTTGCCCTTTGATAGTTCCTGATTCCTTCTCTTTCTGCACCCCTCTCAGCCCTTATTTTCCTACGGTCCCTCTCTCTGCTCTTTCTGGCTTTCCCGTCCCCCTCCACCCACATCTGTTTATTGGCAAAATGTAATACCATGCTGTATCAGAGCAGATGCATATAGTTTACAGTGATATGCTTCTATTTTGAGGACTTCTCATCAGAAGACAATGATAATGGAGCCTGTCCTCTTTCTAGATTATCACAAAATATGTCAATGCACTGCTGAACACAAAGGGAGGTGTCTTGGTGTTTGGAGTTGACCCTGTCTCTTGTAAGTGTTTGGTGTTAGCCTAAGGGTATTTTTTTATGTAAATGAAACATTCACTTTGATCAGCAGGTCAATTCAAAATTCCTCTTAACAATCTTCTTGAATTTAATGTGATATCACATACAAGTTTTTTATTAGGTATCACCAGATAAGCATAGTGGCTTCATTGCACTGGACTCAAGGTTGAGAAATCCATCTTTGAGACCTTGCTGCCACATTGCATGATGTGTTCTCAGGAAAGACTCTTACCTTTACTGAGGGTACTACTCTGGAATCCAACTCATAACAGACAAGCACCAGGGGGCCCAAAGAGAACATAAATCAACGATCTTATGGATGATACAGAATGTAGGATTGAAGAACTTCCAGATGCTATTAATGACAGACAAGCATGGATGAAACCTGTCATGGAAAGCAGAGCAAACTCAACCTGATGATGATGTGTGTCCCTTTGCCCAGGAGAATACTTGGATACCAGCAACTTGTCAGGGCACCTGATAAAATGCTGGGGGGCAAGGGGGAGGGTAACTTGTGTGGATGAGTATCCCGCCCTGGGGAGTGCAAATGCCTTTTAGCCTTTTCATCTTACAGAACCAGAGTAAACTCTAGTAGGATGGACCACATGGCAGATAAGTGCTGACTTGATCTTTTCTTTCAACCAGGCAAAATTTTAGGATGTCATGTCAACAGAGCTCAGGAGGACCTTTTCAGATTGGAATTTGACAAAGAGGTCAGAAACATGAGACCAACAGTGTCTCCTAGTCTTTGCAGGTAGAGTACAGTAACTCTTTTTCAAGATTATAGTCAAGAAACTTTGAAATTGCTGCTATCAAGCATCATCCTTTTCCACCCACAAGGGTGAGAGGTATCATTCAAGGAATCATTGGAGTGATCAGTAAGTAATTTCTCCTCACAATATTCATATATCGTCCAGCAGAAAGGTTATGAGAAGGAAGATAATCATCAACATCGCACTTTGTTTGATTAAAGATTATATTCTCAGAGCTAACATTTGTTATGATGTACATGATGTATGGCAGACACTGAGAAAAATTGACATTAAGATATTTTGAATGAAAGGGTAAAGTTATGATTGCAATGAATAAGCTTGGAATTTGCTGCTTTGAAATTTAGCTAAGCTATGCAGCATCATTTGTAGGGAATCAGCGAGGTATCCATGACAATCTATCAACCCTAAAATGAAGGGGTAAGTTTCTAAAGAAACTGTAGTGCTGCGTCAGTGGGAGAGTATAGAAGGTAATTTAGTGTTAACAACCAAGTTGAAAACATAAATTAGCCTTCATAAAGGGTAAAAATGCTGACATTTCGAGTGTTAGCCCTTCGTCAGAGCAATTGAATCAATCGAACCAATCGAACCAATCGCTCTGACGAAGGGTTAATGCTCAAAACATCAGCTTTTTTACCCTTTACAGTGGCTAATTTGTTTTCAACTCAGTTGTTAACACTAAATTACCTGCTATCAATCCTAAAAGTCCAGGTCATTTTCACCCAATTGATTAACTTATGTTTTACCAAATCAGGTTTATACTGACAAAGTTAGAAAATTCCCCACTGTGTGTGCTAGAAGTGAAAATAAGCGCAGCCCCTATTGGAGAAATGTATATGAACTCATCTGAGCAGGTAAGTAACCTAACAACAGCATGTCAAGATCTGATTGTTAATTCTCCCCTCTTGCTGCAACACTTTTCCTTGTAAATTAGTAACAAGAATTTGATGTGAGATCAAGGTAACAACTTCTACTTGAAAATTTCAGTATTCTCATTACCTGTTTGCTGGATAATGTATGGATATTTTAGGGAGAAGTTACATGTTAGTCAAATCATGGGGATAATTATACTCGTTTTGTGCAATTTTTTTCACTCTACTAAGTCACTTGGATAATAAATATTCCTTAGTAGGCATTTTTGTGTGTAGTATCGCAGAGTGTTTTAATGAGTTGTGCCGTATTTTGGATACTCAGGGATACTCAGTGATACTACACACCAAAACTTCTAATAAGTTAATTACTATCCAACTGCGATATTTCATTTGCATTTCTTGAAAGGTGGGAAAAGCAGAGTACACAGAGAAGCATAGTGCATGCAGCTGATCAGTGAAACAGGTTTTTTTTTTTGGGGGGACAAAATAACCAACTGTCCAATGTTTTAGTGCAGTTGGATAACAACACCATTCATTATCTATTCAATAGTGATATCATTATTAAAATATTATAATTGCTTTCCAGGTTTATGTTATAAGGCAAAGAAAATTGTTTGGTCCTCTGAGACCTCAAGAGATTAAAGACTTAGTGATTGCCAAATACCGAGAGGTAGTGTTTGCTTTAATTATAAAATTTATCAATAAATACAAGTTAATCCATTTACTCCTATGATCTGGATATCAGTTCTCTATACTGTCTGCTATATGTTTCTAATAATTTCACTTTTAAGAATTTAGTGAACAATTTTCCCTACTTGATACTTTTCTTACTTCTCGTCACCTTTCTGGACAAAAATGTATTGATATTGTGAAGAGAAATTCATCTTTTATCACCAAGAGTAGTGCTTTCCCTCCTGGATGGGATCAAGTTCCATCCAGCATTTTGTCAGGTTTCACAAATAATTCACCGGTAAACTTTTTTATTCTTTGCCCTGGTTGTTGAAATGAAGGATCATTTGCTTTCCATTGAATAAATCTCTATCCAGCCCTAGTTGTTTGAAGGATGGATAACACTATCCAATGGATAAATTGCTATCCAGCGGAGAAGAGTTAACAAAGCACACTGCGCTATCCATTGGATAGAGGTTTATCCAATGAATAGTGTTATCTTCCCTTCAAACAATTAGGGCCAGGTGAATAGCAAAGTGTGTTTTGTTCACACTCATCTGCTAAAAAATCAATTTATATCTGAGTTGTTCATAGGGCAGATAATGCTATCAAACAGTAAATTGCCTTTCAGTGGGTAAGTGTCGTCAAAACCTACTGTGCTATCCATGAGATAGAGATTTACCCTTAGGATAGAGTTATCCATCCTTTGAATAGCTTGGTTCTGGGTAGAAAGGAGCAATGTGCAAGTGCAGCCTAGTAACTTCATTCTAGAACACAATACACACTGACCCAGCCAGGTCTGAAATGGTAACATCAGTGAAATAACTATTACAAAATATAACTGTTTGTTGATGAAGCATAGATTTACAAATATTAATCACTTATTTAACTGATGATCAGTTTCCATTACTCTAAAGGACTTTTTATGACTGAATTAATCTTGGTATTTAAAATGTATTCTAAAATCAATTTTGCTGATGAGAATTTTTTAAATTTTACCAGGAAATATCCTCCACAGTTAATCTGCTCTCACCTGCCAAAGAATCCCACGAACGAGTCAAGTAGTTTCAGAACTATTGTAGAAAAGAACAAGTTCAGTTAAACTCACAATGCTGGAAAAATTTCTGTTGGTCCTTCTGTCTGGACCTTTAGCAGTCAGGACAGCAACACAGAGGAAGACGTTGATTAGAAAATGAATCCATATTTTTGATTGGAATTCCATGAGTGGCTGAAAGTCATTTATGCTTTCTAAAGGCGCACACCTCAACTTCTGTATAACATTTGTGCGCAACGTTGAGTTCCAAATGGAAACTTTAATACTTTGCCATCAGGGATCCTGTCCTCAAGCTATGTAAATTTTGATGATTTCACATTGTTTTACAGAGGACAGCTAAGAAATGTACACAGTTTTAAGATGCATGGCTAAGCTATTTTTCTGTATTTGAGATCTTTTGTTTTGCCAGATCCTCAATGTCATCATGATTTGCATAAGGTTCTCTTAATTTTCAACAGCAACTAAAGGTTTGGTGTGCAAATTAACCCAATTAAAAGACTAGTTCACAAATCACAAAGTGATGTTCCTGGTGCATACTTTACATTCAACCCTTAGTCCATTTTTCCACCACATTTTTCACAAGTATCTGCCACTTTCCTGTTTTGTTATGTTGTTATTCATTTAATCTGGGTGCAGTAGGATTCCTTGTTCATTAAAATTTTTCCCTCTGCATCTTGACGGCAAGACTTGAGGGTGGAACTGGCTATTCTGATGAAAATATTTATAAGGGGTAGTATTTCTAATTGTCCATTAAAGAGACCTCAGATCTGATTAGATATTTCTACAGTACACAGTAAGATACTACAAAACTTTACAGTGCTCACTGCTCACAGAGTTTGACACAAAGTCAAAATAGTGAAGAAACATTGACAGCAGTGTTATTTTGAAGGAATACTTTTTTATTTGGTGTCTTAAATAATGCATTGAATTAATTAAATAATATCTGCCATAATATCAAATGCAAAGATAATCATGATAACATCCCAAATAAGATGATATTCTCATTTATATCATTAAGGCTGCATAGCGGCCATGAAACATCACATAAGGTCACATGATTACATGATTATTGGTTAAGTCAATCAATGTTAAGGCTTCCAAAACTTACAAGTGCAATTAAAGCAACTTTGGATTTTGATGGTATGTTTTCATTTTTTGTTTTTGTTTTGTAAGATGGGTTGAGGAGGGAGAGTGATGAATAACAACTTGATCTAAACATTCCATAACTGATAAGCCACAAACACTCTATCAAATGAATGTTGTGATGAAACTTGTAGAAATAAGATGTACTATGAGTAATATCTAGAAACAATTCACGTAAATTTATTTGGCTCACCTGTTTACACCTTTTTTGCCAGCCAATTGAGATCACTGTAGGGCTAAAATTGTGCACTTAAGCTGATGCAGAATATTTGTTGCCCAAGTGAGTGCTAGGTATGATCTCAATTGGGTTGCATCAAATATTTTATCTGTTTTGTACTAATCACATGTCTCAAAAAGAAGGCACTTGCAATTGCTTTTGTCAACAATGGAAGGAGCCCTGCCATAACATGGAACAAAATGTCTAATAACTAATATATTCTACTACATACCCTAAAACAAAAAAAATATCTACTAACTAATACTTGCTGTTCTACTTCAACTACACAAAAGAACATTTTAACTCCGAGAGGTCCTTCATTTGTAACTCCTTTCAATATCTTCATGTAAAATAGCAAAAGGTGGTAATTACTGAAACACATCACAGCTATAGAAGGAAGTCTTGATAAAGTGCCATGTTCTTTTACAAATCTCCAGTGAAAGGTAAAAGAGCATAGGTGAATCAGAAGTTCAAAGATTGATTTAAAGGTAGAGAAGGGAAGCTTGTAAGGGAGTTTTTCATCAGCAAACTAACAATATTTCCTATAATGATAGAAGATGTACTTCCATTTACATGTGTGTCTGTTTCTGCTCAGTCTTCACAGAACTGTGCATTTGTTGGACTTGTGGTACCTCGATCTTCATCTCATGTCACGTCTCAGTTTCCAAAGATGAAATAATCTTGTCTGCTTCTCTGATTCCACTTAAATAAGCTCCTGTAACTGTCTGTGGAAATTGTCGATTTGTAGCCTAGAACAGGAGTGGGTTTAAAAATTAAAATGTGATCTTCAAACTGTTCATATCTGCTTTTGTCCATTTACAAAATCTCTAAAGGGATGTTCTGTTTGTTTTTCACCCCCACATATTAATTTGAAAGCACTGGGTGTTTCTAAAAGGTTTCTCCACACATGAATGTGTGTGCTGAGTACAAAGATTGTCTAAGTGAAATCATCTCCCAGAAGACTTTGGCAATTAACTTTATACAGACCTCTCCTGCAAAATATAACTTGTCATCAACCTCAGAGGCCATATGATCGTACTCTTCTCCAGTGCTACCAATAGGTATGTATGAATAAGCCATGCCTGAGTAGGGATCCTTCCCCCAGTGTGTTACCAAATATGCTTGAGGGTCTGGAATCTGTTAGTAGTAGTTACACTCTTTGTTTAGACAATATTATTTAAATTTACCATAACTGCTCTGATTGGCTCTCCCTCTGTGATAAGCTCCCTCCTCTAACAAGCTCCACTCTCTAAGAAAACCTCCCCTCTCTTAAAAGCCCAGTGAGCTCCTAATCTTAAAAAATCTTCCTTCCTCATACACCAAACTGGAAGCCATTTACATGTATGTAAATAAGCCTCTCAGTGGTTTCATAGTATTTGCAGAACACTTTTTCACAACTGCAAAAACACAGGTGTTAAGTAGGCATGGCCTCATGATTATTAGCTCTTTTTGTACCATTCAACAAATAAGGAAAAAAAAACAATTATTTGGCTACAGCAAAAGAAAAAAGTTAAAACACAAAGCCATTGTGAACCAGTTGCATTACTTTGTAAGTGAAAAGCTTGCGAAGTATGTTCATACATGAATCTACCACTTCCTTATCTGTCATTGTTTGTGCTTGTAAGGCTGTCTCTCCACATAACACAGTCATTAGAACATGGCTTGTCTTTTTGCCTTTTTCACTTCCCTTTTGAACAAAAGAAAGGCATTACATATAATTAAGAAAATTTACCAAGATACTCTGCACTAATCATCCAGGCTAAGTGAATAATTATTGGAAAAATTTTCTTTTTTCTGGTAGTCGGAGCCATTTTCAAATGAAAGTCCAGAGTCATCCTGGACTGCATTGGTTTTCCTTTGCTTTGCTTTGTTGTGGGTCCAGAAAACTTTTACCAACCTCTTAACCAATCAGGTATGAAATTTAAAAAACCGGGTAATCCTGAGTTAATGGTTAGCCTTGTCCCGCGCTTTCAAGAAGGTTGCCTGTTTTTATTTAAGGTCTTATTAGCTCTTTGTGACATTTCCATTTGTTCTCATTGGTTGTTGTAATTACTTTGGTATTCATCTTTTGACTCAATCCCAACGTACTGCAAAGCCCTGAGAAATGCATAGCAGCTGGAAGAGAGTTCTTTCTTACCTAATGAAAAAGACTTCACTGCACATTGTGTATGATAACACATATTACTACCTTTTTACTCAAGTTATAAAAGAGGCCACAGTGACCGCGCCCTTTGTGTGATTGGGGAACATGACCGAAAAAATCTGCTTCTTGGACAACTTTTTCCCAAAAGTTGTATTTGAATTTTAAAATGACCTGCAACACCAAAAATGGAAATTTTTAAAACTAATCACCATGCATGGTATTTAAATCAAGCAGATGAGAGATACGGTTGGAGTTAGATTAAAAAAGGAATTTATTCAAATGATTCAATAACCAATTAGGCACAAGATAGACACACTGAGATAAAGTACTAAGAAATCATGATATATGAAAAAAAAATTAGCAAAAAACTGACCACAACGTGTTGATTCATTGTCAAATAAAACAGGCTGCTAACATGAATCACACCTTTTCTATGAGACCAGCTCCAAGATTTGATATAGCAGCTTGCTTCCTCATTGGGAGTGCAGGAATGAACTTAAGTTTGCCTGACTTCAGCAAGAACAGTGGGACAGTTACAATCACCTGAAAGTGAGAAGTAAAGAAATGATTTAAATTTTAACTTGCAATTTTCTTTGATCATACACAAAAATGATTCACCATATAAAATCTTATGGGCAAAGGTAGACTAGGATCTCAGTCTATAATTCACTCAAGCTCTATATCTCCAATAAATCCATTTAAAATTTTACATTACATCACAGGACTATTGAAAACTCTAAGTAAACTGCTGTGTCACCCTGAATGTCACATCTACATGCAGGTTATAGTTATTTTGACATGTTAATACCTTGTCTGCCGTCAGTTGCCTCCCATCAGAACTTGTAATGATTACTCTTTTGCTTTTGTAGTTAATTTCTTTGACCTGATTGAAGAAATAAAAAGTTTCATTATATACTTCATAGGTACTTGTCCAAGATCATTACATTTTAGTGTGTGTCACTAAAAGCCCTGAGTGAATGGAGATATGCTCCCATCCAAGGGAGTATATAACAAGGTAATTTGGTATTATCACCTGAGTTGATAACATATGTTGGCCACCAAGAGGAGTTTCAAAGCTGACATTTTGAGCATTAGCCCTTTCCCAGAGCAAACGAAGAAGGGCAAACACTGACAAAGGGCTGATGCTTGAAACCTCATCTTTGAAACTCTTAATTAAAAGTGGCCAATTTATGTTATGAACTCAGCTGATGATACCAAATTACCTTTTGATTTGAAGTTCAGCACCTCAAACCATAAGCCCACTCTTTCTCACACACCCTTAGTAACACCATTCTAAATTGCATGTTACTTATAACTTCATAAATTAATAAGTTTAAAGCTGCACTCAAACAAAAAGCACTGAATGCCTGAAGTCTCTTGTTATCTCAGAAACCTGAAGTGTCTTGCTTCTCAAAGCTTTAACAAATATGCTACAGTTTCATTCACATACTTCATACTGGAGTTTGGTGTCCAAATTCTCAGCAAGTTTGTCCAGAAGAACACCAAAACCATGTTGAAGAAGAGTATGATCACCACAAAACTGAGGAAGCTCTTCATTTTGATCCCAGGACATTGATGAGACTTTACTGAGTGGAGCTGCACAGCTGAACTCAAGATTTCCAAGGTGAAATTGCAGCAGCTTTTCTTCAAGCTGGAAAATGAAGATCATAAGATGATAAACATAGCACTCAAACCGATTGAACTTGAAGTTATTGACATATACAGTTACACATCAACTTCGTTTCCTTTAAAACTACTCATTAACAACAACAAAAAGAAAAAAAGAAAGTGAGGAGGGTGTCATCTTTCAAAATCACTACATCATCCTCAGACACTTGAAAGGAAATGCCTGACAACTTGAAAGGAGACTTACTTCACTAAATGATACTTGGGTCTCTTCCAAAAACAAACTGTGCATCTCTTGTACTTTATCTGTGCAAGAGAGTACAATGGGGTGATCAAGATGTTTATAACAAATGATTAAATCTTTGGTGTGACTCATTATAATTGCAACACTATTATGCTGAGAGAGCACATCATCAAAATGCACCAATCCCAGCTGTTAAAAACCAACCAATCACAGCTAAGCATAGTGCTCCATTAAGATGATACCTCACCAATCAAACCAGTCTGTTCTGTAATAGGCTGCAGTTGACCTCAAAATGCAGTAAGAACAAAAAAGTTTCACACACGAGTCATTACAGTTTTAGTGTTTATCATTACCTTCTAAAGATTTATCCTCTGAGGCCTCTTCCCTGTTTTCAGCAATAGCATCTAAGAGAGCATTGAAGTGAAATTCAACTTTACTATCTGTGCTCACATCTACGCAGTGGCCTTCCTCAGTAAGAAGATCACATTTGCTGGTAATGTGGTGCATGGGAAGACCAGCCTATAAAGAGTGTATGCAGAAAGTTAATCTCATTTATAACTTTTAAGAGATTAGTAATTTAGTTCTTAAAAAAAAAAATTAATAATTGTATTGATTGGATCTTGGTTGCCATTGCAAGGGTAGCAGGCGGCTAGTGGGTAGATCCACTTGCTTGTACATAATTATGCCCTGGTTCCCACTTGAAGCCTCTGCATAAATGAATAAAGGGGGTAAATTTCTAAAAAACTGTGGTTCTGCATTGGTGGGAGAGTATAACAAGGTCATTTGGTATTATCAACTTTAGTTAGTCCATAAATAAATGTAAATTGGCCACTGTAATGAGTTTTAAAGCTGAGTCGAACGTTAGCCAATCCCAGAGCAAATGGAGGAATTATGGGTTATGGAGGAATACTGTGACAAGAAAACATAAATAAATTAGTTGAATGAAAAGTGCTCTTGGATACTGTGGGGATTAACAGTGCCAGTTTAAAAGAGTAATTTTTTTTCTGGAGTTTGTGGCTTTTTCTGTTTCAAAGAGGTATAACTTTACACTATATAAAATTTTAACAGTTAGCCATAAAAAAGCTAACTGTTAGTAATAATTATTCTGTATACTTTAACAGAAAGAATTAACCCTTAGCTGTAAAATGGCCAAAATATTAACCATAAGCTGTAACAGCCATCTCCCCATGGAGACCCTCTTGTGTAATTCTCCTCAAATTGGTTGGGGTTGAGCAACAACAAAGGAAAACAAACTGGAATGAACTTCAAATTACAGGAAAATGCACCTGAAAGGATCTAAACCTTAACCCTTTAACCCCAAGATCTTATTAGGAAAATGCACCTGAAAGGATCTAAACCTTAACCCTTTACCCCCAAGATCTTATTAGTAATTCTCCCTACTGTCTGCCATACAATACTTATGATTTCAATTTGGAGAATTTGGTATTGGATCGACTTGTAGTCCCCTAATTGAGTTTTCATCTTTATTCTCCTCACTAGTCTGCTTGATTCTGTGTTGATATTGTAAGGAGAAATTCTGTCTTGGTCACTCATGGGAGTTAAAGGGTTGAAGATTTCCAAGAGGAGTCCAGACCTCTATGTAAAGAAAAGGCTCTCTACACCTACAAAACTACTCACCTGCTGTATGAAACAATGTGCCTGTTTTGTATTCATGTGAATATTTCTAATTTATATATCTAAAACTACTGTTTCTAAACGTGTGATTTTTCTCTACTTAAAAAAAATTCTTAAGTTTATCCCTCACTTGTGGAAAAGAAAACGTATTCTTTTACAACAACCTATACAATATGAACACATTTTCCAACTAACAAGTGTAAGGATAGATAATTTATTTTCTCAGCTTTGCTATCTTTATATAAAATGGCAATTAATATAAATTATCTCTGCTTTATATAGAAAATGTATCGCTGTAGAAGAGAGGATTAAAAATCAAAGATTAATTGAGTCAAAGGTTGGATTATTATCTATTCAGCAATTTACAGTATACTTTCACCTGCTCACACAATACAGATATTGGATTATTCACACAGCCATTTAGTATTTGTGCTCCAGTACCAACACAGCATCCTAGAGAATGTGTGTCGTCCCATACACGCCCTCCAATCCTGTCTCTACTCTCAATAACTGTGACCTGCAAGAGAATCACAATATAAACTCACAGAGATTGACATTAAAGATACAGTGCTAATTGAATTTCTTGTCATAGTATTACTGCTGAATCATACATAATGGTGGCAAGAACAAAGGAAATGATCACCGATTAAAGCAGCTCTTAATTGTTAAAGAAATTCTTCTTGTTTATAGGGATCAGTGTGGATGATATGAATACTGATGTTATGGTGTTAAGGGTTAACATAGGAGGAAATTCGTCATCAGAGACGAGGGAAGAATTCTGTGTCAGTTGAACAGTCCAAGTGTAGTTCATGGCTTTTGACTGGTGAGTTTTTCCATCTGATGATGTTTTTGGTTGTAAGTATTCCATTTACAGGTTAATGAGATAGGACAGCACCTTAATACCAAATGTAGCAAGATGTCTTGCTGCAGCTAAGCCAGCAGCTCCTGCACCAATCACAATGACAGAAAGCTGCAAGGAAAAACAATGAAACAATCTGAATCAGATGTACCCTGTGCATTTTAATAAATATCCCCAAAACAGATTGGATACTCTGATTGTTTTATACATGCATAGAAGTAAGTTAAACATTTGAACCAAAGATGCAGTATTCACCAAGAAGTTCTAAGTTCACATTTGCCTACTCTGAGCAAATACCATTTCTAATTTCTTACACAGCAGCCTCGTCTATGCATGAAGATAAAGGCACTTTAATTCCCATTTGCAACACATTATAATTAATTTCCTGCATTATACATGTAGCTTCAACTAAAATTCACCATTATTAAGAAACATACCCTTGTAGCCTTTGGTGTGCTGAGAACATTGGGCACATCACCTAAAATACCATGATTGACAAATCCTTTTTTCGTTAGAAAAAACAGGACACGTTTAGCCTCTGTAACCATCAATACTCTGATCAGACCTCTCACAATGATATGCTGCGCACACTTATCTGGTGTTAAAAACTCCTGTGGGAAAATCAAATAAATAGGAAGGCATAAAATCTTACTTCCTGGTGGCCCCAGGACTGCCAAAGGTTATTCTGTGTTGTTTTAAAATGTATGCTATACTGTTTTGTCAAATGATCAAAGTTCACAAGTTACTTCTTTCATCACTCTTTTACAAATTTCATGTGAGTAGATCTGAGCTTTTACATTACCATCTCTTTTCTTGTGGAACACAATGACCCACAAAGCAAAGTTATGGCCCGAATGAATAACAAAAGCACACACACTTTGGCTGATCACATTTTAGACTAGTCTTCAGACAAAAGATGAGTCAGTGCATGGTACTAGTCTGTGATGTTCCCTTATCTTTGGGCCTCACTGTAGGCTGTGCAGGGAGGGGCACACCCCTGGTTGGATGCAAGCTTATTCCCTTTGAGGGTTTCTTTGATTTTCAGGTCACCTGACAGTTTCCTAGTATCAAATCACACTCACAGGTGGAAAGAAAAACTGAGAGAATCATTAAAAGCACCTTGCTACATGACCTGCCCCAAGGCTTGTCTTAGACACCTCATTTAGATCAAGTCTCAAAAGAGTAACTGGCTAAAGTAGCTCCCTTCTCTATATAAACTGGAATTTTCACATCAAATAACTTTTACTATTATTGCTCTATTGAGCAGCATACATTTAGCAATAACAGAGGTCTCTATTCACCTTATGTTTCAGTGTCCACAAAGACAAAATGACATTTCGCAAGGCAAGATACAGCATTGGTTGCCTGAAAAATGCAAGAAGGACTGAAGCAATTACTCACATCATTACTTTCTATCATTCTAAGTGTTAACCCTTTGACCCCTGAGAGTGATTAGCATCTAATTTCTCCTTACAATATCACCCTGAATCATACATTAGGGTCAGGAGAATAAAGGAAGTGATCACCAACTAAAGACTCTCTCGATTGTTAAAAAACTAATTCTCCTAGTCAGCACCTTAGTAAATGTAGAGAGAAAAGTATAGAGAATATGCATATCAATGTTTGGGTGTAAAGGGTTAAATGATAAAAATGGTTTTAAATTTAAGTTTCTTTCATCAATCTTTAATTTACAGTTTATCACATAAACATTCATTAATAAATGATTAGCCACAGATACCTAATATATTCAGGGAAGGTTTCTTCTTCCTCAGGTTCCATGACATCTGGGCGGATGTTGTATGCTGTGTGTGGATTCTCTGGATGATAAAACAACTGAACGTATCCTGCAAAAAGGTGAGAGGAGAAGGGGTTTAGTCAGCTTCAGAGCCAGAACACCCACCAATCTTGCTGAAGTTTACAAAAATTTCTGTAGCAAGATGTGACCAGGAGAATTGGCAGATAGTTCACTGGTCCCCATCTACGGCTGTTTGCAGAAAAGTTGTTGGAAAAATTAAAAAGGAAAGGGTGCACAGGACATTCTTGAAAGGTAATCTGGGTATGTGGTTAAAAAACAGCTAAAAAACTGGGGAGAAATATTTAACATGCAAGTGAAAACAAGATGAACAAAACAATAGAATAATCATCGTTCACTGGGGTCAGTTTGTTCTTTTTTTTTTTGTTTTTCATCAAGTTCATAATTAAAAGTCAGTCCTGCCAACAAAATAAATTTATAAAATAGCTATGTCTAGGCCTCTTCCTTACATTGATGTTTTCACAGATTTCCCTAAAATCCTGAGGTCAAGGATCCGTGACCTGAAAACTACCTACAATACCTTCCAGGGTTGTTGCGGGCATCTTTTTGATAACCTTTCTGCAAACAGCTGTATACCCCTGGCTGGGGATATGCAGCACATATTAACCCAGCCACCTGTCTTAGATCTGGTCTTTTTCATTCAAAGTTTAGCATAGTAACTTCCAAGACATTGCATCTCTCCAGACATAAAAACACATGCAAAAGACAATAATTATTTTGCTCAGTAAGAGAACACACTATCCATTAAACTTATCAAATTCATATCAAATTTATTACCTGCAGAATCTTCTACTCTACACCCCCAGGTGTTTGATGTGGGGCTCAGGCCAACACCATCAGGAAAATATGACCCAAGGAATTGAGCTGCTGGGCAGTTTTGAAGCAGAGGAGGTTCCGTCAAGCTTTCCAGCCACTTAGCACTATTAACAGCAGATACTCTCTTCAAAGAAAACATGTTGACAACAATGTTATAACAGTTGCATTCTGTCTATAACCATAGCTATTATTGCTCACTGGAATAAATGTCTCTGTCACTTTCATATATTATCATGACATGGTGACTTAAAAGTTGATAAAACAAGAATAACTCTGAATCTAGAGGTTTCTGTTTGAGCTGTTTTTCACATACCTCATCTTCCGGAATACCACATGGGCTAACTGCTTTCTTTTTTCCCTGTTCATGAGACAATAACAATTCATATTTAAATCTAGAATCTGCAAGTGGTGTACAAAACCCCCCACCCCTCAATACATGTATGTCAGTATTTGATTCATCCAAAATGTAATTGAAGGGGTCCATGGAAATATACCCCTAGATTCTCCTTCCATAGTAATAGGAACATTACTTAACAGCTTTCTACGGGACTGCATTATTTAGTTCCCCAAGTAGAAGACAAAGGTTGCAAACTTGGTCTCCAAAATTTCTTCTCCCTGTCATGGCAACCAAAGCAATTGCATCTTGAAGAACTGAACCCTTAAGTTGCAAACACATTGTCAGCAGTGTACCTTTTCTTTGTTTGTTACTATTGCTGCTGGTGATGAGCATTTCCAGGACTTTATATTATCAGGTGTGAGTTCCTTTTCTGGAAACTCCCTCCATTTTGAACATGACACGCACTGGACCCAGAAGGGCATTATCATCTCTGAAACATACACCTTAATGTTTGCTTCTTTTTTTCCAATAGAACTCCAATCTAGTTTCCATTGGGTGTATGCTTCATAGCCATTTTTAAAGCTTTAAAACAGAAAATAACAAAGTGATGCCCTCAGTAGCATTTGGGGTACATTTACTGTAGGTATCTAACAACCTAAAAACATAGGCATGCATAGCATGCAAGACTTATTTTTTTGGCTTGGTGGGTTGAAATGGGACAGTTTGCGTACTTAATGTTTTCATTTTTGTCACCGAAAAAAGCATAAATTTCAAAACAGGTAAATATCACAGAAAGAAAAAAAAAACTATAATTTATCTGAATTCACACGGATATTATGTGGTCTACTGTCTCTATTGTCTGAATACTTCTTAGTAAAAATTAAATGCATTGGTGCCATGCTTACTGTTGTCTCTTTTGCAGCTGTTGTTTGGTCTTGTCACACAACACCCCCCATTTCCTTTTTGAGAGAGAACGCATTGCATGATGAAACCAAATAACGGTTGCAAAAGAGACTATGCTTACTGTTGTTCCTCCAACAGAGAGAAAATCAAATTTATTCGTCTATAGTTAGTTACCTCAAATTTTACTATGAAAAGCAAATGGAAACTCTTTTGTACCTCTAATAGACCAAAGATAATTATATTGCGATCTCAAGTACAGTAAGTGAAGATACATTGAATGGAGAGAAAAGAATAATGTTTCAAAGAAGGCTCCTTGATTGGTTGTTGCCCATCTGGACTTTGCCCTCTGTGTGTGAAATACGTGATAAAATGAAGGCTGTTTTCCAAGAAATGAACACGTAATTGGGTTAAGTCTAAGGTAGCTTAAAGCAACTATAATTTGTAGAAAAGTCAACATAGGAGAATTGCTTAGAAAATTCAATATCAGTAGCATTTACCTCCGTATGAGTTTTTTTCAGCAGGATTGCACCATGTGTTTAGAATAAGTAATAAAATGCAGGTTGTTTACAAGAAAATGACATGCATATTCAAATCGTGTTAATGATTGGTGTGAGATACATACCCTAATGTAGCAATCTGTTGGTGTAAGAAACATACCCTAATACAGCAATCTGATTGGTACGAACAACATACCACTCTATACGCTAACATTAAGTTATTTTTTTTTAATTAAAAAAATTTTAATTTTAATTTAATTTTAATTTTTAATTAAAAAAAATAACTCAAAAAAGGGGGTAAGTTTCTGAACTGTGGTGCAGCATCAGTGCCCAGGGGCATTACAAGAAAATTTGGTTATCAATTGAGGTGATAAGGGAATTTGACCACCGTAGGGAGTT